ACAGTAGTACATCACTGTTCTAATTAATTCAATAACATATTCGTCCCTTATATTTATTAATCCTTCACCCATTTCTTCTAGAGGGACATATAACCTATCTTTGGAGTTTCACCAATGTATTTTGCCTTTCTTATTTATTTTCTTATCTCCAAATCCATTTTATCTAGGTCAGTGACATTCCAATTTACAACTGATGCTGAATATCTGAAGATAGGGATTACTTCAGTGTTTATTCTAGTAATATATCTTCTATTACTACTTTCATCAGTGTTTATTTCTTCCATCTTCTGATTCATTTTTTCTTTGATGGATTTACAATTGAAGGTGTCATCAATTTCGTCGGACTGCCATATTCCTAAGTATTTATACAAGTCCTCACCTTCAATGATTGGGATGTTTTGCATTCCATTTGGTATTTCTTTAATGTTTTTTAATACCATTCCTGACTTTTTCTCATTCATTTCCATCCCTATTCCACTTATTATTTCCTTAATTTCGTTGTGGATCATTCCCATTTCTTCACTATTTTCTGTCATTATTCTCAAATCATCCATATATAAAGTGTGATTTGCTTTTGGGAATTTCTCTTCGATGATTTGAGAAATTACATTCATCTGAATGATGAAGAGTAGATTTGATAATGAATCATTTGTAAAATTCCTCTATTTAATTTAATACTACCTAGATATTCATTAAATTTATAGCCGATGAATATCTTCCATCTAGTCATCATACTTTCAATAATGTTAATGATGACAAACTCATAATTAAAATATTTTAATGATTCAATTATCCATTGGTTATTTACAGTGTCATATGCTTTCTTAATGTCATAATATGACTCCACATATTTTGGGTATTTTTCTTCTTTCTGCTGCTTTAATATATGACTATTAATTATTCCTTCTTTAGCAGCTAAAGATTGCAACTTACATCCCAATTGGTTGCTACTAATTTTCAATGATTCACAACTCATGTTAAGTCTTCTGTGAATCTTTTCTTTTAATATGGAGGTAAATACTTTCATAATTACGTTTGTACAACTGATATGACGATAATTAGTGACATCATTCATATCACTTTGTGGATTAATAAAGTTCTTCCACTTACCATGTCTAATTTGATGTTTTGAATGAAGTTTAACCATTCATTGAAGATATTGAGAATGATTTCTCTTGATGATGACATTCTTTTCCAATAATACCCATATATAGTGTCTATTCATGGTGCTTTCCAGTTACTTATTTTCATTATACTTAAATTTAATTCATTTATTGTTATTATGACACTATCATAATTTCTATATCTTTTATTCCATGAGGTGATTTGTTTTATTTTCCAATTTTCTTTATTTAATATCACCTGTGTTTCATATAACGATTTCAAATATTCTAAAGTAATATCGTTATTTGGGTATATTTCATTTTTTGGGTCTTTCTTCCTTATTCTAATTTTCTTGTTAGAATCAAACATTATTTTATTTGTATTGATTCTGACTATTTCATTTTTATTAAATTTAATTCTTTCTTTAATCATTGTCATCATATATTTTAGGTATTTTATTCTTTCTAGTGCTTTAACTTTTATTCCTTCTTATTCTTATTCTTTTAATTTCATGATGCACTTTATTCTGTACCATTTCCTTCCCTTGACCAAATCTTCTAGTCTATTTATTTTCTTTAAGATTTCTTTTATTTCATCAAATTTATCTCTTATTATTTTATTTTGGAGATAGAGGTGCATAATCATTGAAATCCTTTTCATATCATCTTGCAGATCCTGCATTCTGCTTCCTGACCATACCCACCTATTATTAATTTCCATTATTAATCAGTCAGCTTCTTTTCTTTGAAAGTAGTAATTAATGTTTGAGCATTTTTCTATTTTCATTTCTTTTACTTTATTGATGAGAGTGTTAAGGTATTCTTCATCAATTTCTGTAGAGTTATTCTTTAATATGATGTTTTTTATTATTGAATCACACTCTACTCTTCCTTCTATTATATCATTTACTTTCATTTTAATGTACTGTTTAATGTTTTCTTTTATTTTATGTGACATTTTAATATATTTAATATATTCTTTTTCATTATTGACATTGATATTTGTCACTTTTATTATACTTTCTATTTGTTCCCATCTTAATTTCTTATATAATTTCTTATTCAACCAATTAATTGCAAAACAATACAACACTTCAATTAGAATTCTATTTCGTTTGTTCTGTTGTATTTCTTGTCTGACTATCATCTCTTGTTTTTTGACAATCAGTGCTTTGCTTTTCTCTTCGATTTCCACTACTGTCTTTTTCATAGGAGTAGTTTCGTTCATCTCCATTGTTCCTGATGATGCTTTCCTCAGTACTGGTTGTGTATTTATCACAAGTGTCATCGTTTTCTTCTTCTCTAGTTCCTTCTGTGAAATAAAATTTTCAATATCATCTTGTTGTTTTGATATTATTTGTTTTTGTGTCTCATTTTCTTTTTGTGTGTTGTCTAATTCTTCTCTTGTTATTTCTGCAATTTCTTGGTTTTTAATTGCAATTTCTTGATACTCAGAGATTTGTTTTTCTTTATCTCTTATTTCCTTCTTTAATTCTTCAGTGTTTTTTTCTATCATTTCAATCTTCTTCTCTAGTGTGTTTGTATTTTGTTCTAGTATCTTGTTTCTCTTTTTCAACCTTTCAATTTCTTCTTTCATTTCTTCATTTTCTTTTTCTATCTTCTTTTTATTAGCTTGGATACTTCGGATTTTTCTTCTTTATTATTTACTTCTGTGATTTTCTTTCCTTCTATCTCGTTTATTTTTCCTTGTAACTTTAAATTTCTTTCTTCTAATTTTTCATTTTCTTTCTTCATTTCTTCATAATTCGTTTGAATCTTTTTATTTTGTGTTTTCATTTCTGTAATTTCTTCTTCAAATTCTTTTTTAACTATTTCTTTTGCTTTTCTCATCATTTCTTCTGAAATCGCTTGTTCTTCTTCCATTTTTTTCATACTGAATTCTTTAATTTTTTCTTTTAATTCAGTAATTTGATTTTTAAGTGCAAGTATTTCTTCTTTATCTTTTTCTTCTTCTATCTTTTCTTCTTTATTTTTTGTTTCTTCTTGTACTTTCTTTATACTTTCTGTTTCATTTATTATTCTTGCAATTTTACATCTATCATTCATTTCTTTAATTGGGTTTTTGTTTTTAATTTCTGTTTCTATAGCCTTAATGTCTTTTTCTTCCCAATCTTTTGTTTTTTCTTTAAACTCTTCTTTCGTCTTTTCAATTATCTTTTTCTTTTTAATTGAATATACTTCTTGAAGAATATCATACCATCTTTTTCTTTTACCTTCATATTTTTTTAGTATTTCTTCATATTCTCCTTCATTCCATTCATTTGTTATTCTTTTTATTCTTTCTTGTATCTCATTTATTGTTAGCCATTTATATTTGTTATTTGTATAATCTTTATTGTTATTGTATTTACCTTGTTTTTTATTTGTTTTTCTTTGAGTCTTTTGTCTTCTAAACCCTTTTTCCTTGATGTATCGTTTACCTTTATTGTTATAATTGTTATGCCATTTATTGCTATTGACATTTCTTTTTTTGTTGTATGACCTTAGATTTCTATGTCTTGTTTGCTTTTCTTTACAAGACCCTAAGGTTTTACACAATAGCCATGGCATTAAAATTTGTTGTATTTCCTGCATTGGAAAAGGATCTCCGATGTTAATTTTTAATAAGATAAAAACATATAATTTATTGAAATAAATTTAAATAATATTCTTTTCTAGTAGTAATAAATTTTAATTTAATTATTTATTTTGAATTGTTGTATTATAAAAAATTAACAAAATAAGATAATTTAATGAATAGTTCAATTATTTTAATATCCTCCTCTTAATCTTAAGACTAAATGAAGTGTTGATTCTTTTTGAATGTTATAATCTGAAAGAGTTTTTCCTTCTTCTAATTGTTTTCCTGCAAAAATAAGTCTTTGTTGATCTGGTGGAATTCCTTCTTTTTCTTGGATCTTAGCCTTAATAGCATCAATAGAATCATTTGGTTCGACTTCTAATGTGATAGTTTTTCCAGTGAGTGTCTTAACAAATATTTGCATCGTTCTGTTATTCTTTCAGTTTTTCTTCCTTTTATACTTCTTATTGACGTTTTTTATTTTTCTTATCCTTCATTCTTTTATTATTTATTATAATATAATTATAATTTTATTTACTATTTTATTTTTAGTTTATGTATATTGTTTTAATTTGTCATTGATTTTCTTATAATCTTTACTTTATATTTTGCTTAAAATAAGAACAACATTATATGTTTTAGCTTTCTTAGGTCTATTTCTTTTCATAAACCAATTTTTGTACTAGCAGTTATTCTTATTTAAATTTAGTATTTTCTTTATTAAAGAATTGTTATTGTAAAACATCTTCAACCAAAAGACATAAATATTATTGAATACTTCAAGAAGTACCAAACACATTTAATGAAGATTAGTCATTTAATTATTATTTACTTGAAATATATATGACTTATAATAAGAATATTCTTTGATAAAAAAAATAAAGTCAATAAAAGATATTGAATAAATAAAAAACAAGCAAAAAGAAAGGTGTTGGTAAAAAAAGCATGTTAATTTGAGTAAGTGAATAAAATATAAAATGTGTAATAAAGAATAGATATTCTGAACCAATATATTAAAGAGTTTTTTAATACTAACATTACTTCTAAACTTTAAGGATATTAAAAATATTTAATATTTTCAGAAAATTAAAAGAATTATAAGAATTATATTTGACAAAGTCTTTTTAATTTGATTAATGGATATTATAACAGTAGTTAAAGGCATTATACAGTAGAATAACAATCAAATGATTTAAATTTTTATTGAAAAAGAGATGATAAAAAGAACAAAATCTTTTAATAGATACTATCATCTTGTTTTTTTAAATAACAAAGTAGAAATAATGTAGCATTAATTTTTTAATTAATTGTTTGTTTTAAGGATGAAATTCAAATTCACTTAGAAGTTCTCCTTTAAAAATACATTTTAACACTTGATTAGATAACTCACAAATCTCATCTAAAGTAGAAACAAATGTTTTAGCCCAAGATAACATAATGCCTGAAGCACCACCATCTAAGATTGATTGTGATACACATAATACAACTATTCCACATATTAATGAAGAATGATTTGCTATAAGCATTTCAGGAGAGTTATATAGCAAGTGACAAACGTCAGTAGCAATTTTATTGAGTTTCTGATTTTTATTAAAATATACTTCAAGAAAGAGATTAACGTATTGGATTGGGACTGGTGGGTCTATATAATAATTTAACATTTTTAATACTTCCATTTCTTTAATAGTAAATTCTCTTTTTGAACAAACCAATGAAGTGTCATAATAAATTTCTTTGACCCATCTTCTTCTTTTCTCATATATTTTACTTGCTAAACTGATACATATAAAACATATAATTTCTGGATTTTGTTTTTGAACATATGAAGAATTAACTACACATAACCGTTTCAATATTCTACAATAAATAAATTCTTACTATTTCTTATCTTATATCTTTTGATTGTTTAAAAAAATATTATTTATAATACTGAACAAACGTTACTGCAGTGTGAGTTGTAATAGGACTCAATTCTAAACGATTGCAAGCAGTAAAAATCTTCTGAACAAATAGTTTTGCTGGCCAGCAGTTATTAAAAGGGATTAACCCATAATACTTTTCTTCTTTAATACATAAATTGAGTAATAATTCTCTGTAAGTAAAAGTTCCATCTCCATTTTCTAATAGCGCAATATTATCAATGATTAAAGGTGATGAGAATGCAACATTGTCATCTTCTCTAGTCTCTTCCATTCACTAAAGTATCTTTGATTAACTTTTTCGATGCTCTAAAAAAGATTACTTTTTTTAACACTTTCCAAGAAAGACATACCAATAGAGTATAATAAAATCCACTATGATTTAAAGAATATTATTCAATTAAAAAAAAAATTAGAATATGTCATTTTCTTTTAACAACTTTCCAGCTTTATGAATCAATTTAATTGCACGTTTAGCATTTTCAGTTTCTTTGTTGACATCAATTTTAATTATTCGAGGATGACATTTCTCTTTTGGGAGTGGACAAAGAATTCTTTGTTTTTCATTATCAACAAGAGCATAATACTTTTGTTTTGGTTGCTTATAAACGTATTTGTCTTTTTTCCAAATACACTTATTTCTTGGAATATGTTTAACATGTTTCATTTGACATTTTTTTAATTGTTGTTTCTGTTGTATTGGTTGTGTTGAATTTTGTTGTGTTCCATTAGTAGAATTAACGTTATTCAACATTGGTTTAACTAATTTTTCGATTGAAGTACATGTCTTTTTTGAGTTAAATTTATTGTCAAATCTAGCTAACTTTTCGTTTGAATTAAATCTAATATATTCTGGATCAGAATCAATAATATCACGAATTGATAATCTTTCTTTTTCAGTGAGTAAGGAAAGGGCATTTTCTACAATTTTTTTACTCTTTCTTTTTTTCTTTTCAGTTTGTTCTTTAATTTTTCTAATATTTTCTTCACTTTTTAATATTTTTTTAGCAGCATTTTCCTTTTGTTTTTTTACCATATCTTCACGAGTTAATACATTCAAATCTGCTAAACATAATACTATAAATAAAAGAATGGTTATTACTTTCATCAAAATATTATAAATTTATTTTAAGATTTTCTTTTTTTTTATTTTTGATTTTTAAGTTTTTATTAATAATCAAGAAGAAGAAGAAATAATAATTAGAAAGAATCAATTGATAAGGAGAAGATACAATCATTTTCTCATTTTATTCTTGAATAAACAATCAGAAAAATATTCAAAAGTATTAAAGGGAAATGATTTAATTAATTTTAATCATCTAGTTGTTAGATTTGTACATTGCCTAAATTCATTAGTTTCTATTACTCTTAAAAAATCAAATAGATTTAATTTTCTAAGACTAACGCTGTTATAAAAAGAGCCTTCATAAATTGAGTGAACGTTATGAAAAATAATAATTTCAGACAAAGAATAACAACAGGAGAAACAATAATTTCTTAATGAAATTACTTAATAAGAAAGAAATATTGACTTAAGTTAGGTATACGTATAGAAACATCATTTTTGAATTACAAGTATAGAAGAAGGAGTTTTAAAAGTAGTTAATGAAGAACAACTAACAAAAACACAATTTTCTAGAGAAGTTAATAGTAGAAAAAGAAGAAAAAGAATTAAAAGTGAATAGGTAAATAGAAAAGGTTTGAGTCAAACAACAAATAATTATTTAAAGAAGAATTATCGAAGCAAATAGGAAGAGGAGAATAAATGAATAGTTTAATTTTCATTTTAAATTCCAAAGAAATAGATAAAATATGTTAGATAATTAAGTTAAATGAAAATTGTTTAAATAGAAGTAGAAATGTAATGAAAATAAAACGATAAAGAAGTTATCATTTCTTTTAAGGATAATAACAATGTAATGAATTGGTAATAAAAAAATTACTATGTTCAATATGTTTATAATGTGAATTTAAAAATGACTTTATTTAATTTTATTGCTTTAGAAGAAGTTATATAATAATTAACTAAAGAATTTATGTATTTTGGATAAATTGTATCAATGAAGTCATACAAATATAATGTTTCAATTTTTGGAAATAATAACGTTGTTGAATTATTTGAAGGTATTGAATTATAATAGACTACTAATAGTAATTCTTTATATTTTTTAACATCATTATCATATCAATAAAATCATTTTTATTTTAAAGTAATTTGAAACAATAAGTACAGAATATCTATCAAATATATTTATTTTACTCTCTTTATGTATAAATAAAAAAAAAGATAAAATTCAAACAGATAAATATCTCAATCTCTTCAATTATTATTATTATTTTGAGTATTAATTATTTTTTAAGATAGAGATTTCTTTTCTTTTTGTATGGTTTGATTTGTCAGATTGAATTTATTCTTCAAAGTGTTATAAAAAACAAAGATTGTTTTAATATTTTTTACTCAGAAGTATCTGTTATCAATCATCATCCAATAAATAATTTTAAGATTTTTATTCCTTAAAACATTTTATTATTTTACTTTAATTAAATTAAAAAAAAGAAATATAAAATAACATTTAATCAATGAAAAAATCACTTATGACTTATTCAACTTTAAGAACTCCTTGTGGGCAAGCATCAACACAAGCACCACATCCAATACAATCATCTGGATTTTTAATTTCAACATGATCATTTACTTCAAGAACACTTTGTGGGCAAGTTCCAGAACAGGCACCGCAAGCGACACAGTCATCAATGTTAACAATAGTGATCTTTCCCATTAGATTTGAATGAATAAAAAGATTAATTTGTTGTATTTAAATGACAAGTTTGTTTGTGATTTAAATAGAATAAGAAATTTAGTTAGTGTAATATCTTCTCAATTAAGTTTTGAAATTGTTTTTTTTTATATGATTATGGGATTTTTTATTTAAACTTCATAACATAAACAAAAATTTCAATTTTTCACTTTTTCAAAATTCTCTTTTCAAATAACATTCAAAACTATTTTTAGATAATTAGTAATTTGTTTTAATATTTAATTTTGAAATGATTAATAGATTTATTAACTAAATAATACTAAAAATAAATTAAAATTTTAGTTAAATTTAATAATAATAAACTATACTTTTATAATTTGTGTTATAATTATATTCCCATAAATAATTTATATTTTGCTCTGTAGACTAATAGCTAACTGTTAAGTAAATTGCATAAAGAAGAAGGTTATCTATCATTTTTATTAATTTTTGATTTGAACTACATTTCGTCGTTGGGTAGTTGTTTGTATTTTTAGAATTCGAATTATTTTTCTAAAAAATTTATTTTTTAAAACATTTTTTTATTCCAAAAGCATTTTAATTTGTTAAAAAGATGAAATTGAAGTGAAAATTCAGCAAATTAAATAATAATTTCAGAAATAAATTAATGAGAAAAACTTTAAAAGAAGAATTAGGTGGTTCTTTCCTGAGATAAATAACCCTAAAATAGAAATTTAAGAATAAAAATACTAATTAATCGGGAAAATAGTAAAAAATATTACCAAAGTTAATTTAAAGTTTTTGGTAAATTAAACTAATAGTTTATTAAATTAAAATAAATAGTTTAACGAATTATATTTAAATAACTTATCTGTTTAATTCTATCGCTCAAATCTAATGGGAAAGATCACTATTGTTAACATTGATGACTGTGTCGCTTGCGGTGCCTGTTCTGGAACTTGCCCACAAAGTGTTCTTGAAGTAAATGATCATGTTGAAATTAAAAATCCAGATGATTGTATTGGATGTGGTGCTTGTGTTGATGCTTGCCCACAAGGAGTTCTTAAAGTTGAATAAGTCATAAGTGATTTTTTCATTGATTAAATGTTATTTTATATTTCTTTTTTTTTTGTATTTTATATTTCTTTTTTTTATTGATATTATTCTTTTTTTTTTCTCTTATGTAAATATTTTGTTTTTTTTTTAGTTATGTTATTGTATTTGAAATATTTTTTATTTTTAGTTATTACCTAATAATGTATTTTATATTTTTATTAATACTTCCATTTCAATACGAAATAAACTTTTATTATTATAAATAAAGAAAAATTAAATAATTCAACAATATTATTTTAAATATTGAAAAATATTTTATATGAAAGACACATAACTTAAATATTTCTCAATTATAAACAATGTAACTCTTTTTAAATAATTCTTTCTTTAAATTTAAACTTATTCATTTTTATATTGACTAAATTTAAAATATATTTAATTTTCTTTTATAACTTTTTTAAATAAACTTTTTTATTCTTCAATTTGAATGTTTTTTAATATATTAAATTTACTCTTATATACAAATACAATCTTTATTCATTATTAAAATAATTATATAATAAAATTACTAATGAAACCAATTAAAAACAATAAATCAATACAAATGAAAACACACAAAGAATAAATTGTATTGTTTACTTCTTTTTTCCTTTAGTCTTAACTTCTTTCTTTGTTGAAGTTGTTTTCTTTTCTACCTTTGGTACTTTTGGTTTTTTTTCTTCTTTTTTAGAAGTCTTCTTTTTTTCATCTTCTTTTTTAGAACTTTTCTTTGTTTCTTTTTTAGCTTCCTTCTTTGATGTTTTCTTTTCTTTTTCTTCCTTTTTAATTGGCTTCTTTGGCTTTTTCTCTTCTTCTTTTTCTTCATCTTCTTCTGGTTCATTAACAACTGCAACTTTATTTTTTTCAGTAATAACAATTTTAACATCACCTGGTTTTTTCATAAATTTGATAATTTCATCTACATACTTTTCTTTTGTTTTTTCTTTAGAAGCAGCAGCTAAACAAAAGAGTCTACAAATTTCAATAAGATTAACAAATGTTTGTTTTTCTAAATATTGTCTTTTCTTTTCAATTAAATATTCTGTCTCATAAATACTATTTCCTTTAATTCCATTGAAAGACATAATTTCTTTTTTTCGAACATCTGCATATCCAGAAGTACCAAATAAAACTTTATGAAGTAAGATAGCGGTGTTACTTGTTTTTTTAACTCCTTTCATAACATTAACAATTTCTGGAATATCACCTAGAGCCTTTCCTTCTCCATTAAAAATAATAGATTGAGTTGTACTTTCTGAAAACCTTTCAACAGTCTTCTTTTCACGTGGAGATTGTTTTCTTCTTTCGGCTAATGTGGACATTGTTTTGATAAAAACACTTTAATTAATAATTTTTCTCTTTCATCTCCTTTAAGTAGTACAGATGCCCTGACTTTTCCTTCTAAAAGAACACCATCGAAGGTTATTTCTTTTTTATTCTTATTAATTATTGAATTATCCTTTTTATTATTATCTGTTTTTCTCTTTTTCAATCTTTTTTATTTATCTTTGAATTATTGACATTTATATCATTTTTTCACCTAATTTTATATTCTTCTTTTTCATTTACTACTATTAATGCTGATGTGGATTATTAGAACCAATTTTTGTCTTATCTCTTTTTTATCTTTTCTATTTTAAGGGTTTTTTTTTAGTAAATTAAAAAATTGTTTTTTATACTATTAAATCATCTCATTGATTCAATGATTTATTTGTGTTATTCAGAATTATTATGTTATTTATTTTCTTGATGTTCTGAAAATAGAAATATTATACTAAAACTATATAAAATCCAAAAAAACCCTACACTTTTTTTCTGAAAAGAAAATCAACTAATCAGTAGTAAAAAATGCAAGCCGATGATTTGATCTGGATTCAATGCCAACATGGATTTTGTTCATTTAAGACTAAGGCTTGTACTGGTAATTTCTGCCGTAATCGTAATAATGTGATGGGTGAATGTCGTAGATTATATTGTCCATTAGCAAATAGTGTATATGCTACTATTAGAGAGTTTGGTGGAAATGTGTATTTATTTACTAAGAGTATTGAAAGGGCACATACACCTGCTAAATTGTGGAATAAATTGTTATTAGATAAAGATTATATGAAAGCATTACAACAAGTTACTGACACACTAACCGATGAATATAATCCAAAGTTAGTTCATAGAGTAAAACAAAGACTTACAAAGGTATATCAATACCTTGAGAGAGAACGTAAATTAACACAATCTAAAGATAGAATGATGGAAAGAGTTAATATTAGAGAAGAAAGAAGAGATATCACAAGAGCTGAAAAAGCTGAACGAATGGCCAAACTTGATTTTGTAATTAAAGACCAATTATTACAAAGAATGAAGGATGGTGTGTATGATGATTTATATGAAAATCTTCAAGAATTAGAACAAAATCCACAACAAGTTGAATTAAATGAAGAAGAACTAGAAAAAGAATTAGAGAATGAATTAGTTCAATATGAAGAAGATATGTCAGAAGATGTTGAAGATTGGGCAGAACGTTTGTTTTTATTAATAATTATATTTTATTAAATAAAGAATAAATTTTTTATTACATTTAATAATATTATAAATATTAATTATTAGGATATAAACAAAATAAAACTTCTGATGAAAAATTGGAATATCCACAAATCAAAAAAGGACCTAAAGTTAACATTGAATTTGAAGAAGAACCTGCTGATGAGAATATCGAACATAATGAAAATTGATTGTTTTGAATTTGAATCTCAATCTTTAAGTAACAAATAAAAACAAAATAAAACAACAAAATTAATAAGAGTTATTATGAAGATTGTAATGATGCTATTGTTCCTTTATAACTATAAGCGCTAGTAATCAAATAACTTAGATTACTTTCAGTCATTTTATTATAAAATTCTTTCGTTGATTTATTAAATTTTTCAAGGTCTGAAGAGTCACAAGAACGTGTGATATTAATAAGTACTGCAAAGGCAAAGTAAATAATAAACCTAAAAATTAATGAGATTTTTTTTTTAAAAGAAAAGGTAATAATTTGAGTATTAATAACAAATAATCTTTAATAAAAGAAAACAAACGTTCGAAACCCATTATCCAACATGAAATTATCCCATAAAGCAAGTGTTAAATGAAAATGAAATTCTCTACAAAAAAGACAAACAAACCATCTATATGATTGTTGTCTTACAATGTCAAGATTAGGTTGTTTTGGATCAACTGAAAATAAACTGTAATAACGATCAACAATATCAACAAATTCTGTCCATAATAAATCTACATGAAATTGAGTTGAATGATTTATATAGAGTTTATCCATTATCTTTTCAAGTGAAAAATATACTGTTGTTTCAACTTGAAATAATATCTCATCTTTGGGAACAACAAACACTCCATTTTCTTGTTTAGGCTCCATAAATGCAGTTATAATAATACCAACAATATCATTTAGTCCTTGGAAATATCCTCGATCAACATGAATAATTGAATATATTTGCAATATTCGACGAAGCATTTCAATAATTTTTGGTTCTTTAAAAAGATATTCTGCCCCTTCTGGAAAAGTACGAACAATATCACACTCTATTACCCTTAAAGTTTTTTGATCAATTTTAGACATTTGAAAAACTCCTTCTTGTAAACTTTGTTCATTATCAACTAATGTATTTAACATTGATTGTAAAGACTTATATTCTTTTCCATTTTCTTCAGAATAAAGATGTTTAATTTCCCATGGGTTTGATGGACGAAGTAATAATGCATACCAAACATACGCACGTAATTCAGCTGGAATACCATTATTGCATTGATACTCTAAACGACTATAATCTAATTCATTGAGACAATCACAAACAGCATTATAAACATAAGGATTCCCACTATATGTAAAATGTGGAACAAATGAAGAAGATAATTGATTCATAACATTTGTTGTAAATGAAGAGAGGTATTGAAAGAGAGATGAATCTGTCTTTGGTTCTGTTCTTTTTTGAAAAGGTAACTCTTGAGATTTCATTTAACTGGTTTTTGAGATTGAACAATATCATCTTTTCACTTTTTAAACTTTTAATCTACTTGTTGACATCTCTATTTTTCATTGATATTTTTTAAATAAAAATTCTTAAAATAGAAAAAAAAAAGAAGTACTAAAAATTATTTTAAAAAATGGATGATAAAGAGTTAGATGGTTTGTTTGTGTGTCTACTTTTAATAAAATACCTTCTTACCTATTTCCAGATATTTTATCTGAAATGATTGAACAAGAGAAAAAAGAAAATAGCAGTACTACAAATCAGTCTATTGGGGATATTCAATTTCCTGATTTATCACAGATTTATTATGACTTAATAAACCAAATTAATCAAATTGTTTGCCAAATAGATAAAATCATAACAAAATAAATATATGAATAACAAAATTTAGGATAAATCTTCTGATGATAAAAATTTAACGGGTGTTGAAGAAACTTTAATTAGTATGTTACGACCCTTTTTATCTAAAGATATTTTATATGAACCAATAAAAGAATTAAAAGAACAATACCCTGAATGGCTTGAAAAAAATAAAACAATAATTACATCAGAAGAATTTGAAAAACGAATCAAACAATATGAAACTGTTTGTAAAATTGTTGAACTATTTGAACAATCTACAGAACCTCCAATGGAAATAATTGTTGAACTTATTCAAAAAATGGGTCAACCACCACATGGACTAGTTCAATGTCTTGCTGAATAAAAAAAGTGTTTACTTTTAAACCATCTTTTGTTTTGGTTTATAGTATCTTTAATCATTTTTTATTGTCATGATTTTCACTTTTGATAACTTAAGATTTTTTCTTTGTGTGGATTGTCAAAAAAATTGTCAAGATATAATGTATTTAAGAAGATTAACAAAAGGAAAAAAATAGATGACTGAGCCTAAAGATTATTATGAACCAATGAAGAAAAAAATTAATTCTACTTTTAAAAATGATATGAAAGAACCTAATAAAATAATAATAAAAAAGGTTGGTAAAATAAATTCTGGTTATAATATATCTGTGATTAACTCCCCTACAAAAGTTTTATCGAAATCATATGAAGTAAACCAATTAATGAAACTAAATAAAGTTAATGAAATAGTCAAAGTTCATTGTTTCCTAGATGATGTACAATTTCAAAATGACTGCATCTTAATATTTAAAATATGTGATGTGAAAAATCCAAAAGTTACCATTTATGGAAAGTTTTGGACTCGAGAAAGTAATCCACAATATCTATCCAAAATGGAATGTTATATCATGGGGAGGTTAATATTTCCAAAAGTTGAAAACAAAGAACCTATCTTTAATTGTATTTGGATTGGAAATGGAAAAGAAAATATCTAAAAATTAAAGAATAATTAATATATTCAATCAAAGGAATTTAACTCAACCATTAAATGGTTAATAATTAAAATAGCCTTTTATTTCTTATAAGAAATAACTAGATATAAAATGAAGAAGTTCAAACAAAATATCAACAATCCCAATAAAAACCATGAACTTTGCAATAACACTTGAACATAAACACTTCACAGTATAGATTGTTTTATGCATTCCTTCTCCAAAAATTCGTTGGACATGTTTAACTGAAACAAATTGAATTAATGAAGGAATCATTACACCAATTATTGTAGCAGATATACCAACAAAAGAAAGAACAGTCAACGAATCATTATAAAATATACATAAAAACACAGGGATAGATGCTATACCTGCTCTTACAATAACATCAACCCAGAAATGATAAATAATAAATGTTTGGACATTAAAATAACGATAAATAGTTTGTGCAGCAAAAACAACTAAAGGAGGATAAACACTTAATGTTGTTATAATTGGTAATAACATAATAATTATTTTAATAATTATTGCCCAAACAACACTTCCATCTGAAGGAAGAATTGGTTCCCAACCATCTCCAATTCCAGTATACTCTACCCAAATATCACTTAATATTCCAGTTTTTTTAGAAAATTCAGTGTTCATAAGTGAAAGTGATAAATACAACATAAAACAAATAATATCTACAATCAAAGTATATAAAAATGGTCTTTTTGTATATGAACGGGCTGTAGATTCAATAATTGTATTACAATTAATAAAAGAAAAAAAAGACACAGACAACATATATCCAATTTTACATAATGATAACCACCAATCATCTTGTGTTGAACTTGAACTAGTTATAATAGTTTCATCTCTTTTTGTTACTGAAAAGAAAATAATTAATGTAGTAAACATTAGTACCAATGCAACTATCCTATAACTAAAGAAATAAATCCAAACTTATTATTTAATTTA